TCTGATAGATCGTACTTTAACATTGTTTAGTACTTCTATCTTTTTGATGAACGAAATGATTTTTTCAGGTGCTTCGTCCTTGGATCTTAGAAAGAATACCCAAGTATACATGGCATACTCATCAACAATGACAAGTGTGAACTTCTTTCCAGCTAGGGATTGCACGTTAACTGGACTAAAGAGATCCATATGCAGTAGTTGAAGAGGCGCAGTCACTAAAGAGATTTGCTTTGACTTGAAGTTAGCTCTTGTGTGTTTTCCTTTTTCACAGTCTGAGCAAAGAGATTCATTTGCAAAGGAGTGTTGAGGAAGACCTGTGACAAGATCATTTATTGACAGCTCACTGAGGGTCTTGAAGTTGAGATGAGATAGCCGTTTGTGCCATAACCAGTTAATATCTGATGAGGCCTTGGAGAAGAAGCAACTATTCTCAGTTATAGATGAATTCATGTTGATGATGTAAACATTCTCTAGACGAGAACCGGTTAGAGCAACCTTATCATCTTTGTCGAGAACATGATAAGAATTCTTTGAGAAATTAACTATATAATCTTTATCACACAGTTGGCTGATGCTAAGAAGATTGTGCTTCAGTCCTTCAACGTATGCAACGCGTTTGAAAGTTGTTGTACCGTTGGATAATATACCAAAGCCTTTGGTATATCCTTTTCTATTTCCACCGAAGGTTACGGAAGGTCCTCTTTCTTCCTTGAAGTGAGATAGAAGAGATATATATCCAGTCATATGTCTTGAACAGCCACTATCCAGATACCATATGCCTTTGACATCCTGAGCAAGGAAACAAAATAAGAATTGCTATTGGTACCCAACTAATTGGGTCCAGCTTTGTTAAAGGCTTCATCATCTGATACTGACGAATCATTATCAGTAGATGGCATCACTAAACCTGAAGAGGTTTGAATGGAAAGAGGAACAACCCTTGATAYTACCAAGGTAGTTTCAGTGGAAGTCTTCACTGATTCTGAAGAAGAGACTTTAGTGGTAGGGATTACAACGTCTGATCCTGAAGACTTTTCAGCAGGAGTTGTCTTCGTTGAGCCTGAAGAAGAAGCTTCAACGGTTTTCTTCACCTTGACTGCAGGAGCAGCCTTTGTGGATGATTTCACCTTAGTTGATTTCTCAGCCTTGGTTACTTTCTTGCAGAAGGACACCTACTGGCAACATATGTTCTTTCACCACAATGTTTACACTTCCTAAAACTAGGAGTAGCTTTAGGGCCAGGAAGTATTAGACTAGAAATGGGACCATCTCCAAGAATTCCCTTCTCATTGGTTCTAGGAGGAACCTTTGAGGAACTGGATTCCTTAGGTGAAAAGTTCACCTTGAGCTGTGACTTAGATTTCTGATGCGATTTAGATTTCTTAGTCCCAGAAGAAGAGAAGAAGTTATGCAAGTTGAAGGAATAGATCTAGATCTATTAGACTTGTTAGACTTCTTAGGAAGGGATGCTGTGACAATGAATTTACCTTTGTCTTTGCACCCAGAACTCAAAGGAGTTCCTTCAAGATGACTCTTAGTAAAAGAAGAGGACTGAGAGAAAGAAGTGTTAGGAATAGAAGAGATGAAAGTACGAAATTTAAGCATGGACCTGTCTTTAATACATTCTTCCTAATCATAGGAGAATCCTAGACCATTCGTTTTCTTGGCCGGGATCTGAGCGTTAATGATATCAGAGGCCTTGAGGGAAGCTTTGCACCACCCTTCAATGGTAACTTTCTCAGCTTTGAGTTCAGCGATTGCTCGCTCACGCTCAGCGACAACTTTCTCACGTTCAACAGTGATGGCTTGGTTTACAATAACCTGATCTTTAAGATTTTCCTCAACAGAGGTCAGTTCTTTGATCTTAGAATGACAAATCTTCAATTGCTCTTGAAGATCAACGTTAAGCATTTCAGCTTTTGATTTGCCATTGAGGGCATTGTAAAGATCAACCGTCAGCGTATCCAGTGCAGAAAGACTAGAAGAGGAAGAGGGCTCATTCARGAAGCATACCTGAGTAGAAGAAGAAGAAGGTGATGGCTCAGAGGATGTAGATGCTTCAGAAGATCCTTCATTTGCATCTATAGCCATCATGCAGACGTAGGCTTTATCCTCTTCATCAGAAGATGTCTTATCGGATGATTTAGTCCAGTCATGCTCTTCAGCAATAAGGCCTTTACCCTTTCGCTGGATGTTCTTCATCTTCTTGTACTTCTCCTTCAGTTTTAAATACTTTTCATCTTTGGTCCTGAAGGAGGAAGGAGTTTTAGAAGATGGCGTCACAGTCTTCTTTGATCTGCATTCACCTGCAAAATGTCCGGGCCGGTGACAGTTGTAGCATACAGCTGAAGCCTTGTCTATTCTTTCAGACTTTGGCTTCTCCCTGAAGGATAGCTGAGGAGATCTGCGGAAGTTGCTCTTACTGTCGAACCTCCTAAATGACTTAGTCAGGAGTGCTAGGGACTCATCAAAATCTGTTAAATCAAATTCTGGAATGTCCTCAGAAGAATCTATCTCCGTGATGACCACGGGAGGAAGAGAAGAAACAAAAGGGTAGAAGTTTCAACTGAAGAAGCTTTAGAGATCAAAGCTAAAGGAGAGCTTTTCATTTCCTTGGATTCTTTTACAAGATTCCTTTTCAGTTGACGAGATTGCTCATGGTTAAGCAGAATCCCGTATAAGGTAGAAAGAGAAAGAGTGGACATGTCATTTGACATCTTGAGACACATGGAAAAGGTGTCCCAAGACTTAGGAAGGCATTCTAGAAACTTAGTCAAGGTTTCAGAATTAGGATATTCCCTGCCGACAGCCCTAAGATCAATAAGAAGGCAGTTAAATCTTTGATGTACTTCAGACAGCGTCTCAGACTTTTCACAGAGAAAACTTTCATATTGTCTTACTAGATTGATCTTTCTAGTCTCCTGAACCTGAGTGGTTCCTTCATATTCGACACAGAGTGTATCCCATACAGATTTAGAAGTTTTGAGTTTCATCACTGAGTGATAAATCTCATCAAGAAGAGACATAGCTATTATAGACCGAGCACGCGTGTCTATAGCTATCTTCTTCTTGTCCTCATCGCTTCACTGATGTGGAAGCTTTGGAATTTGCCGTTCAGGAATCGCGACAGTCGTAGCTATTGCTGGAACAGCCGGAGCAATAGCAAATGGAATATATGGTCCATTTTYTATGTAATGTGGAATTTCAGGATCCACACCTTCCAGAAAAAAGGACATCTGGTTCTTTCAGAGACTAAAGTTGTCACAGACAAACCGGAGAGGTTTAGCAAGAGAGCCATTATCTTTTGTGTGTGTGTTTGTAATTTGTAAAGCCATTAGTAAGTAGTAAAGTTATCTAAGAAGAGATAAACTAATACA